AGCCAGGAGAGCGGCGGCCGCGGTCGCCGCTGCTCCCTGTGGGCGAACGGGAGCAGAACAACGACCGAGGGCGGCCAGTTACGCTCCGGCGGCGAGCGCGACGACGAGGACCCCACGGTGGCTGCGGCGAGGCGGCAGGAGGAGGACCGCAAGTTCTGGGAGGCGTGCCTGGCGTCGGGCTACCCCTGAACCCTCTGCAGGACGTGCCGATCGACCGATCAATGGACAGACCATGCATGTGCGCGTTCATGTTTCTTGATTAGTAGTAGTACTAGTAGTAGTTTTGTTTATTTGATTGATGCGACAAGGGTTTGTTTGTGCTACAGCGTGTAAAATGCGATCATCATGAAACAAAGATGGCCAAAGAGTTGGAACTAACCTACTCTCCGTGCGTGCAACCGCAACAACAACACTACGTCTCATTGATTCATTCGTCAGAAAATGTAAAAAGAGCGTGTGTGCAATCTTGGCAATATATGTTGATCCGCTTCTTTCTTTTCTTGGTTTTGGGTTATTTCTCTCTGTGTGTCAGTGGTCCAAAATGTGGGAATAATCTACATACTCCCTCCATCCAGAAAAAATTACAATTATGGAAAACGTGTCTGTCAAACTTGCCCAACTTCGACTAAGGTTATAGTAACTAGTATGAGCATTTATGTCTCGAAATAAACTTATTATAAAAATACATTCTATAAATAATCTAATGATACTTATTTTGTCTCATGAGTGTCGGTATATTTTCATATAATTTTAGTTAAAGTTGAAATTTTTTGACTTCTCAAAATATGAGAATTACATTCTTCCGTGGACTAAGGAGCACGTAGTATATTGCTAATGCATCAGGGTAGGAACTTTGCCGCCAGTCAATTTGAAGAGAAGATGCCCTGCACTGTGTATCGACTGTTTCCAGAATTTACAACGGAGAGAGAAAAAAAAGGCACCTAGTAGGCTAGGCTAACATTTGTTAGGTCCTGTTCGCTTCGCTGAAAAAACAAGTTAAAATATTGTTTCGACTGATTTGTTGTGAAAGAAAAATACCGTTCCGTCTGAAAAATTAAAGCCTTGTTTAGTTGGCCGAATTCGGTGCCGCCGGATTCACTGTGCGCACTGTAGTATTTCGTTTGTATTTGGTAATAATTGTCCCATCGTTGACTAATTAGACTCAAAACGTTCGTCTCGCAAAATACAACATAACAGTGCAATTAGTTTTTGATTTCGTCTACATTTAGTACTCCATGCATGTACCACAAGTTTGATGTGACGGAGAATCTTCTTTTTATATAGTACCAAAGTTGGGAGTTAGGAGCAACTAAACAAGGCCTAAACTGAAAAGTACGGATTATAAAAGAAGCGAACATGGCCTTAATCAGTGTTCAGTAGTAGTACAACCTAAATAAAGCAAATCATTGTCCTGACAACCGGGTTGCTTGTGCCCTTGAAAAGGAATTGAGGAGTTGCTTTCCTCTCATAGCTAGGAGAAGGGACCCAATCAAAACGCTTTTAGCGATGTTCATGCACCAGCTCCTGACCACTGCCTGCTCATGTCGGTCACCGGCTGCGGAGGGGTTAGTAGCGTCGCTTTCGGCTGGAAACACCGTCCAATTCACCACATCCCCCTAACAGCTTGGATGATATGAACTGGCAACTAGAGAATCTTGTAGTTTATAAAATTCCATATCTGGAGCAGTTTCGGCAGAGCCGACATGGCTGATTCGCCTTCACGTTTCTATGTTTGTTAGGAAACGTCATTAATGGTCATGTTATTCGATTCATTTTCATTTTTGTGATGGTTTTCTATAATGGTGGCTTACCACTCAGCTGTCAGCTCGCCCTCATCGCCCCTAGATAGGTTCTCTGCATTTTCCATCCGCCGCCTTCCTCGCTTGTTCCTGGAAATGGCCCCCCACTACCTGCAACAATGTCACTGACAGCTGCTTAATTGGATGACTTTGCCAAATAATAGGGTCAGGTCCTAAAGTTGGCATGGACGAAGCATAGGTTTTTGTGATGGAACCTAACCGACCGGTTTCAAGTCATCGATTTTCTAGGGTGTCTGTACTATGATCTACAAAAGAAAACTACTCAAGTTGTCACAAGCACGCCTATAAAACAACACATTCTGGGTAAAATTTCAACCGATTGCCACCACATTTTAGTCCAAGAAAGGAGGGATTGTTGTACTACATTAGGGCCAACTGGCCAACTTGATGACTCCGTCTAAAAGCACTTAGCCAATGGCATATAAAGTTATCAACCTGAAAGGGAAAGATATGCTGCATCACATGTCATCGATGGGATCGACGATGCAGCATCAATCCAGTTCACCAATGATGCGTACTGCTGGAGAATATCTTCTAGCAAAACACAGCAAATACCTCCTGCAGTGCTACAATAGATTTTTTTTTTGAAACAAAGTGCAACAATAGATTCAAGGAGACACAGAGATCAATAACTTCTAGGCACATTACAATTTGGATACAAACCTACCATGCTTAAAGCAGTTCATCAGTCTTCTGTCCGAAGGCTATCAGGTTTCAGGAAATCTTCACATTCTAACACTGATAGGCAACCTTTTCACATGGAGAATACGATGGGAAAAGCATATATAGCGATAGATACAAACTTTAGTCACATCAATCACTGTTACCATTACAGTGAGAATATAATTATGACTAAGATAATAGACCTACAGGAAAAATCATAGCTTGTTTTTCTCGAACAGGCAGGAGTGTATCTTTATATTAAGAAAAAAGGTAAATAAACCCCAAAAAAAGGAAAACAAGCCAACAAACACCAAGACTCGCACACTCACTCACACTTAAGGGGGGTGACAAGGTACAAAAGTGCCTTTTATAAAAGAAAAAAAATCATAAAAATGAAAGATACTATGATGACCATATGCCTTATGCCACAAATTCAGGAGTGCGAAATTAGCGAGGTGAAGCTGATGACATGTTTTCCTTGATAATGGTATGCACATGTTTAGTTGTTGCTCCTGGAACATCTAACGCTTCATGAGATATAGATGTGCCTTATTCATTAAACATAAGCGTTGAGAACATTGCTACTTGATTTTCAACCAAAAAGAAAAAGAAAAGAAAAAAGGTCATCCCCTCTCAAACTCATATATACAATTTTACAACTCATGACACAGCAAAAACAGGAAACAATCAATAACATAAGACCCTTTGTATTCTAAATATTGAAGACCTCAATCCTGCACAATAATTCTCAACAAAAACAGAATATCTGAAATTGATCTGTGCATGATTGTACAAAGCAACATAAGGGATGCAGGACACAAGGGCCTGCCACATTACAGCTTTGACCACAAACACCCCCTCTGCTGCATTATACATATATTTACATCCATTAATGCATCACCAAAGACAACCATCTAACATTTTTTATGCTGAAGATCATTTGAAAAATGGTGATCCAAGCTGACGCAAGAACTTCACCACCTGGGTGAGAAATATGTCATCACTACAACATGGGCCAGTATAGAAATGATGCAATGACCACCCACCAATGGGAAGATAACCCGGAGGCAAGCGCTGCACCATGTTATTGTCGATGTGTTAGACAGCAACTACCAAAAGGATAAGTTTTGCATAAGAAACAAGTACCAGCTGAAGGAAACAAATTCAAAGATACAGATTGCAACTGTTATTTTTTTTATCCCTGTCAGGAAAGCACACAACAAAGTCCCAACACTTCACTTTCATATGTACCTTCAGTTATTACGAAAGAGAATAAAATCTTGTTGTCCCAAGTAGCAAAGATGTTGCAACTGTTCCTTTTCTTTTGGCTCTGTCGGGGAAAGCACACAATGAAGTCCCCCATACTTCACTTTCATATGTCCTTTCAGTTACTAGGAGGGAGGAAGGGAGGGGGGCAAAGGAAGGGAACCCAAAATTTAGCTACTAGTTAACGATTCCGTGCATTGTCATGGTGGAAAGACATTCATGCAAGCTTATAGCCCAAAGTTATCTAATAGCATAGCACTCGATCACTTATATATGATCGTTCGAGAAAAAATTCTATATGATCAATATTCAAGTAGAAGTTAGTTCTTAAATTCTACTGTCTAAACATCATAATTCACAAATTAACAGATTTCAGACTCAAAAGTAGCTCTTAGTTACTGTCATCAATCCTTAATTATCCCCTAAGGTTCCATTAAGGTTATAGAGGTACACAAATATTTGCTAGACATACTTTGTTTATAGTTTTCTCATCAAGTTATCAGGACCTCACATTTCCCGCGAACCCGTTTCAAAAATAACACAAATATCAGTGTCCATTTCACTGAAACTCCACATAAGTGCAATTTTTCTTTAATTTTTCTATACCAGTTTATCAGTAAGTACAATGGTGCTGGTAACTGAAGATAACTGCTCGAGCATGACATGACCAGCATACTGTTCTGGGTCAGCTGTCATGCTACATGCATTACCTATACTATAGGGATTTGTTTTTCCAAATTTTATGATTCCTGATAAATGAATGATTAAAAGTTCAAAAGAACAACTGACAAATATGTTTTAATTATTAAAAGGCACATGTAACCCTACTTAAATGTCCCAAAACATTTAAGCAAACTGTATTATTAAAATCTAAAGCTTGTAGAACAAATTATAAAGTCGAGTGTCACAAAACATTGGCAATTTGGCATATAAATTTCAAAATATGATTTTGTCAACACACCATCATTAGACACTGCACAGCATCAAGCTTAATCAACACAAGCAACTGATTTGGTACACAGCAAATACTTGGTTAACTGGAGTACATATAGATTATTTCAGTCAGTATCAGTATTTTTAGAACGATCCAAAAAATGCTTGTTACAACTTACAGAAAAAATGCATCCGGACACAAATTTGCTTCAGATAGATATGCAGTATAAGAGACATCATAAAAAATCAGTAAGAATAACTCACAGATAGATGCTGCAGGTGATATCGATGAAAACTTGTTGGGAGGCTTGGAGGTTCTCATACTGGGTGGCATTGCATGAAAAACAACATCAGGAAGTGGAGAGGATGGAATCCTTGGATGAAATGATGGTGGAGGTGGATGTACATATGAGCCTGAAGCTTCATAACTATTTGGAGAAGCTGCGGGCACAATAGGGCGAGGACCCCTGAAGGGAGATGAATGGTGCTTAGGAGTGCTATGTTCTTTCTTGCGTTTACAGGTAGAATCACAGCTGGGAAAAGTAGTGCTGTGAAGAGGAGCTGGGGCAGGGGACAAATGCTGCAAATTTTGATGACTATGATCATGGTGGTGATGATGGTGATGGTGGTTGTGGTGATGATGGTGGTGGTGACCATGGTCAGAATTGTGATCCTGATGGGCTGAGGGAGATTGATAATTAGGTTGAGGAGCCGGACTTGGTGAATGAGCATTGCCTGAGTTGTTCAGTGAATGTTGAAGGTACGAGGACAGACTAACCTGCTTAACTCGTCCAAACACAGTGTGGTTCAAACCCAAGTTTCCAGAAGAAGAATTTCTTAATGTTTGGGCTAACTGTTTTAGTCTTTGCAAGGATGGTGGTTTGTTATCTGCCCCAACAGCAAGGAGAACACACGCTTGAACAACAGTAGGAGGTGCAACTGTTGAACAATACAGATTTGTCAGTGTAACATATAGGATCTGCATTTCAGAAAGGAAAGAGTTACTCAATGATAAAAGAAGCATTTGTGATAAAGCACAAAGATGCCAAAGGGCCTCTAGTCCAACTGGTTAGAGCGTCCCGGCGGCACTCCTCAGGTCTTGGGTTCGACTCCCCGTGGGAGCGAATTTCAGGCTGGGGTTAAAAAAATCCTCTCGTCTGTCCCACGCCAAAGCACAGGTCTAAGGACCGGCCCGGTCTCATAGGGCGACGGTGCCGCTGTGTAAGGGTGGGGCAGGGGTTCGGGGGTTTTCTGGGCCTGCATGAGAAGGTCTTCTTCTTAATGCAATGCCTGGGGGTGGTCATACCCTCGCAGGTCCAGTTTTTTTTTTTTTTTTTTGATAAAGCACAAAGATAAAAATAAGTTTGGACAACAATTTTCAAAAGCAGTAAGCATAGCATGTAAAGATTAGGGATTGAATGGGCTTTCAACTCGTACAAGGACAACACAATGCAGGATTAGTGGAGATTTTTTTTTCTGTTAACTAGCAAGATCAATCAATAGAGAAGAAACTTCACCAAGTGTAAAGCTTCTTGCATCAATCAGCAAGCACAGAAATTTTACTGGTGACAACAGAGAAACAATGATGATAAAGAAACTTATTTCATTCACTCAGGACAGAAGACTTGAATGCCTTAGTGGCAAATAGTAAATAACTAAAATCACATCCATGAGCTATTTTGTTTTTTGTTTGGGTGCACAAATCCAGATATTTACACCTAACATGTTAAAGTTTACATTAGCTTATGATTCGCTTTAACTGTTATGGCCATGCAGATTTGTACTCATTTTTGGCTCTTTAATGCACCACATATTTCAGCAGCACGGCAAGTTTAAGGGTCAAAATGGTCATTAACAAACAAAGCCAATTTGGATTGACCAACTGAAATAATTTAAAAAAATTCTCCAGTCATGAGATGTAAACTGGTTCTTCAGTAATGCTTTAAACAAATGAACTGGAACTTGAGCAGCACAAACCTCATGTTCGTTAAGAAATAATCCAGATTTCATCTGGGCCTTCAATTCACTCAGTTTGTCTTGTACCACATCAATGGGAAAGTTCAACGAGAAATTAAATAAGCCATCAGGCTTCTGAGGAACAAAAGCAGTTTGTGGAGGTATAATCGTTATGCCACCAGGAAACCTCAAGATCTCAAAAGAATAAGAATTCCCAAACAGAGATGGTGTCAAATGGAGGATAGACTGCTGTATAACCAAGGTCACCAAAGATGACCTCAGTATGCTTAACTCTGTTGGTGATAAGGTGAAATTACTAGGATAGGGCCAGAGTCCAAAAGTCACAATAGTCCAGTTTGATTCCCCAGTTGGCTCCAATGAAAGTACAGATACCTAGAGTAACAGGAAGAGAAAATAATTACACTAACTCAAGGACAATTGCTATGGACAAGTGAAGTAGAACATACCACAAAATTGTTAATGCCAATCTCTTCAAAAATATCATACTCAAGGTTTGATTTATTTCCACAAAGCTCAGAAATCATTCTTTGCAGCCTGAAGCTTGCAACCACATCAGCTGTAAGTAAAACAGAATAAGCACATAAGAGAACTGGAAAAAAAAAGGTTTCATTAAGGCAAATAATATGCGAGCACATGTTAGATCATCCAAACAAACCTAACATGTTTTCCATTAAAAAAATATGAGAACTAAATACAGGGCAAGTGCACGAAACCCCCCAGCGTCAGCCGCCAGCGTCTAGGATGAATCCTGCTCTTGCCATCTTTGTAGTACTCATGGTGAACTGGTGATGTAGAGTAAACTTCAGAAATTTAAATATTATCATGCGCCTAGAAGAGTCTAAACCACAGCTGGGTCTAGAAAAGACCCCGAAGGCTGCCCTAGGTGGAGCTCCCTGCGCCAGCAGCTGAAGGCAGTTTGCACAGCGAGGGACCTTTTGTTTTAATATGCAGACTATCGGGATCGAACCCGGGATGGGAACGCCACAACAGGCAGCTCGAGCACCGCGCTGTACACACGTCTGCAGTCTTTTTAGGAAAAAATTGGTTTTATAGCACCCAAAGAACCTGACTTTTGGAGCACCAAAAAGTTCCCATATATTTTTTTTTTTGGCAAATGTGTTCCCCTAACTTTAATAGCACAGAAAACTGTCACCTTCTGTTACTTGTCTCCCCGTTTTTCATTTTTGTTCATCAAACTAAGTTGCAAAATACCAGCTTTGCCATTAACTTCCTTCTTCTGTGTTCTGCACATGGGACACCCAATCCAAGGTCCTCCACTTGCGCTAGCACCTCCTCAGCGCCACTATCTACTCTGCAGGCTGGGATCCGCAAACTACCAAGTGTTGTGGTCATGCTGCGCTGCTCTGATGGTCTCTCCTGGATGCTGTGGAGCATGACAATCATGTGGCAAATGGGTCAACGCCCACAACCACAAGACCTCAATGCGCGTGCACAGACATGATGTGACCCTATGAAGCTCCATCCTGTGAACTGTGGCAGTTAGCGCGTTCTTCTGCAACCAGCTTAAGCTCCACAGCACCACAGATGACTACGACAGCCGGTCAGTGCCAAGAAGGTTTGCGGTCAGAGAAAAAACTTAAACATTTTTGTGCTATTTTCCGAATGCCAGACTCTTTGGGTGCTATAAATAAAACCAAAAAGTTCCCATTATCTAAACAGTTTCCAACCTCCATTAGCTAAGCACCAAATTTAATAGTATACAAAGTTAGAAAATGGTCCTATTCAAATGTCAATCAGCACCAACTAACAATTCGCAGTAAACCAATCGTAATTTTGGTGGAAGACGATCAGGCATTGATTCCACAACCAACACAACAATCAAAGTGCTCTATATCTATAATAATCAAATGTGCCACACATCTCAATCAAAGAATGCAACCCATATTAGCTACCACTGTCTCCAACAGAGCTCCTAAAGGTGGCTAGGTGAACATGTTGAAACATGAATCCTGCAAAAATCCACGTACAATATCCCCAAACGCAACAACAAATCAACAAGTCAGTTAAATTAAGGTCAAGGCGTGATAGTTTCTAACCTATTACCTGTGCGACTAAAACGAATATGGAGACGACCCAATTCTCTGGACCAAAAAAATGAAAATCATAGAGCTCAGCGTTACAAGCTCAATTGATCCCCACCCACACCCACACCCACACACAACACACTGGAAACTCCCAATTGAGCATGCTGCATGCCCGTCCGGCCACAGGAATGGACCAGCATTCGGCACCACATCACAGCACGCAACGGCTCCATCCTACTGCAACCTCAACAGACGAGAGCAGAGCACGGGGAAAACAAGTCCCCCGAATCGCGAGTACAAACAGAAGACAACGGTAGCGAGCTGCATTCCACTAGAAGTAGAACCCGTAGCCAAGCAGCAGGAAGCAACGCACTCACCTCCGGCCCAGGGGTCCCTGCGCGCCTGGTCCTCCCGCCGCCGCCGCGCCGCGAACGGTGGCAGCCAGAAGAGCGCCGACAGCACCACGGCGGCGCCGAGCAGCACCGCGGCCGCGCAGCGCCACCACCGGCGGCGGCCGCGCCCCTCCTCGCCAGGCGCTTCCTCCCGCGAGCTCTCCGCGCCGCCTCCTCCGGCCGAGTCCGGCGGGTCCCCCGCCGCTTTGCCCATCACCCAGCGGATCCGCTCAGCGTGCTAGTGCTACCCCCGGCGCGGCCATTGCGGGCACAGAACCAACGAGTGGTTAGGGTTTCCTCCGCTTGTGGCTTTGGGGCTCCGCGCGCTCCTCCTCCAATGGGGATAGGGAGAAGAAGGGACGGGTGGAGACGTGGAGTGGAGTGGATGCGCGCGCGAGTGTTGGCGAGCGAGAGAAAAGACAGCGGGGAGCAGCGCGCGACCGCCGAAGCGCGGCGGCAGCGAGCGGGGTGCTTGGCAGCTTGGGTACTACAGCGAGTTAAATCCTGGAGCGGCTCCCGCAGCTACTGCAAAAGCGGAAACACGTTTCCATGACCGGTGGGGCATAGTTGAGGTTGGGCCCATGAGTCGGTGATTCAGTCTGGGAGTGTGATGCGGCGGATGAGGGAATGCCCGGGGTGGGGGGAGGCAGACAGGTTGGTGGGAACGTGACGGGGGTTGATGACGACAACGGGGGACGGGTGGCGCCCGGCCGTTGAAAGGTGTTGACCTGTGCCGTGCGCCGCGGTGAGCGTGCGTGCATGAGCTCACGTGCGCGGTCCGCGTCCGCCTCCCCGTCGTCGTCTCCTTTGTCGGGTGCGGCCGCAGCACACAAACTCGATGAAGCTCATCACCTTCCTCTGCTTCCTTGGCCTCAGGCGACGCTAGCTTCCTCAATCACTCTGAAACTAAGTGCCAGGCCCTGGCACTTAGAGCATATGCTCAATACAAACATATATATTGGTGGAATGGTGGTCTTAGGTGAGAAAAGATGACAAATACTCTTAAACCCCTACTAAGGTATCAACGCTACAACGCACGACAACCTCAAAAAAAACGACAAACGGTTTTGCACAAGAAAAAGAAAGAAGAAACATTCAAACAACTTTAATTCACCCTATCCCGGTCTCTCTCCTAAGACTATCACTACCTCTCTCTAGGTGCAACTACATGTTATTGCCACCACCTTTTGCTTTTCTCTCTCTCGATAGCTCCACCTCGACATGACAAGGTGAGACCACTATCTAAGTTGAAGCATCGGGCCTAGCCTTACCCATTCGACCTTTTCGCACAAATCCCTCCATTTTGTCACCCATGGCTTTCACCATCTCCACCTTCGATCGTGTTTTACTGATTTTTTCTTTGTCCTCATCCCGTCTAAGTAAGATTGAGACTATATAAATAAATATGTTATAAAGATATTGTCATATTATTTTTAGTTTCTGCTGATGTGCTATGCATGAAAGTGGATCATCAGAAGCTATAAGGTAGTCATAGTTTGTTTAGGCTTCTACGTTATTTTAAACCCGATGAGTATAAATCTAATAATAAGTCCATTTAAAGTTTACTTCGAAAAACAACCATGCATGTTCTTGAATAGCAGGGGATCCAAGATAGATTTTGGTTGCTTTAAAGCCATTCAGAAAAATATCCAAAAAGCCAAATAAATTAGGATCCATTAAAGTCTATAATCTAGATAAATGCACTCTCAGAACACATTTTATAGAGATTGTTATGAAATAAATAGACGCTGAAAATGTTTATGTATTTTTCTATAAATTTAATCAAAGGTATTTCAGGATATCATCTAGAGAGGGAGAGGGTGTTGAATAGGCACTCATGAAAATATTCCTTCACAACTCGGAGTAGCCGATTAGAGCAACTACATATGTTACACAAAAATCTATATAGGTTATGCAATTCCCCACGAAGCTCAAGATTAGACTATTCATATGGAAATCTAACTCAAACCAAACTTAGGTACATGATCACCACTTAAAGACCGAACTGGAGGCTTCTAACTGACAAGAACGATTTGTAGAGCTAGCAGCACACATGCACAAATTAAGAGAGATGGAGAGATAGAGTAGGTGGTCGACCTAGCAACAAATAGCCAGGAAGAAGCCCAATAGACAGGGGGCTAAGAGGGAAGGTGATCATCGTTGTTGTAGTGACTATTGCATATGTATAAGGCTAGGAAACATGGACAAGATAAAGGGAAAGGAGGGGACGCCGTCTGTTGATTACCTTCGGCCTATTGGGATTCAGATAAGCCATTCAGGATATGAAAGGATCAAATTAAACATGGGTTCAACGGACGTTAGGTTCCACTAGAGATAAAAGAGCAGAAGGGGATGATTTGCTTGCTTCATGAAGGTCAAGAGGAGGCAGGTGTAGATACCAATTTCAGTTGTTGAACGGATATGATTACATGGGAAGTCAAAAGAAATGATAACAAAATTCAATGCAATGGGGAAGAGAAAGGAGTACCAAGCCATGTGTGACTTGGAGGTTCGTGACCATCCTCGAATAATGTGTCTTCGTGAAACATTGGAGAAATATACTAGTGGGGATATTTAATTTCAGATGTAGTTCGATTTCACAGAAGAATCATAGAAAGAGAGAAAAATTCTTGCATTCAGAACAAGCCCCTAATAATATTTTTGTCAGACTTTATAACTTAAGTCATACTCCCTCAGTTTTATAGATCGTTTTGGTTTTTCTAGATACATAACTTTTATTATGTATTAAACATATCCTATATGTAGGTGCATAGCAAAACTATATACATAGAAAAGCCAAAAGACCTATAATTTAAGACAAATGATAGTACACTTGTTGTATGTGACTTTCCTTGCACAAAAATATTTTATTGATGTATATATTCTCTTAACATATGGAATCGATACGTGACCGTTTTACCGAGTCAGTACCCTCGTGCCACTTACATAGTTAGGACATGTGGCAGAACCACCTAAAATAACTTATTTTCGGAGATGCTTGTCTTCCATTAGACACTAAACACCTTAAGAGTAAGCTAATTTAAACAGTTCTGTCGAGCACACCCCATGGGAGAACCAAAAAAATCCATATTTTTCAACAGGATCATAAATGGGAGAATAAAGCTTACAACATTTTAGCCATTTCTTACATCACTTTCCATGCATCATCAGAGTATAATATTTATTGTTTATAACAATGGAATATAATCATGTTATCAGAGTTTCAGCGAAAGTAAAATCATTTTATGACAAGTTAAACATTAACATGATGATCCGTTATATACATCATAACAGGTTATAAGTTTTTTCATTATAAAACATTTTGGGTGGAAGTTTCAAATAAACTCTATGTCCTCAACGTTAAGGAAATCCTCGCTGAGCCCACCAGAAGGTTTTCACACACAAGTGTCAGCTCCACATGTTTCTGTCACCTGCAACAGGGTAGAACAAACCCTGGGTACTCAATTGTACTCCGCAAGGCTTAGCCGTCAGGAGGAAAGAAAAAACTCCAAGAATATGCAAGGCTATCTGGCTTGTGGGTTATTGCATGGAAGCATTAGTAAACGTGCATCCTTATATTCAATTTTATTAGCAGTCATCATTAGTTCATTAACTAATCATTTTATGTAAGCACATGTACTACTTTCAAGCAGGTGGTAAGCAATCAGAACCACTTTACCATCTTTCATATTCCAGTTCTAACTACGGTGCTAGATCGTAGCCAAGTCGTACCGTATCACATGGCGATTCACAAACCAATGTATCCCAGCTGGGTACCTCGAAACACACGCTCCGCTTGTATCCCAGGCACAAGCAGGACCAACCCACCACTCTCCTGTCAAGGGGTCCAAGTCCCTGTCCAAACTTGGACTCCAAGCCCCCACACCTGAGTCCCGGACTCAGTGTGGTGCTTAGACCTCCACCATCCCCGCCTCCAATCAGTCGGTCCAAAAAGAGCTGGAACCCCCGACAAGAGAGCGACGAGCCTTCCCGTCCCCATAAGCAAGTATGTGCTCAGGATAATAAGTTTGTGACCTGACTAGAATCTAATGCAACGGTCGGTCCTCAATCGACACAGGTGGGACAAACACAACCAGAGCCTCGCTCGGTTACCTAACCAAGTCCAAATCCAAATTCAAAGTATGGTCCCGTCCGGTCTCCAATTATTATCCACATATATTCCATGTGATAGTAACATGATAATAGTAACAATAATATATTCTTATCTCTCGCGAGTGACAGGCAATCACTCGATTTCTACCGGAGTCCTATAGCATAGCAATCTACACAATCCTAACATACTAGTAGGACTCATAGGATAAGGATATATATATATATATGCAAGTGGTTTTCATTCTTTCATTCAACTCCTTAAAACTTAATGCACAAGTATAAGATAAAGTGCAGAATAATAGGGGTTATGCACCGGGGCTTGCCTGGTAAGATATAACCAAGTTAGCTTTCATCTTGGTGGCATGATCATCAAGTCACCATCTGCTTCCACTACTCCAATGACTCTGCGATCCAACATCGCTCCTATCATGAAATACGTGGACGCAACGAGGGGACGTAAATAATCATTGGCATCCGCAACTCTAAAATGTGATTACGTCTTGCAAGCTAGCGAGCTAGCTCTAATGACTAACATACTAAGACATGTATCCACGTGGTCAAGTGAGGCTCGTTTGCAGAAAATGTTTTCGTTCTACAAACCCCCAACTAATTTTTGATATTTGATTGATTAAATATATATTTTTCATACTATGGCTCATTTAGCTACCTTAACAAATTAATTCCTATGGAGCAACAAAAATTACAGTGAGCACCTAATAATGTTAGAAATCTATTATAAAAATTTTAGGGCCAGTACTACTACCACTTCATCATAATAATTCCTACAAGTTCATGTTTTACCCATTTTAAGTGCTTCAAATTAATTAGTCTACTCTTGAAAATTCTATGAAACTAAGTGAACAAAATACATTAGCAGATAGGTCATGATTTTAGGAACCTAACAAATTTGGTTTCATAATTTTTGGATTCCTACTAAATTTTATATTAAATTTGTAAGTTTGCCTTAGAAACTAATTTAGAAAGTGTTTTAGAATTCGAAACGTGCTGGCGGCAACCACTTTGGCCCAGCAGTCCAACGTGCCCCGCGCAGGACATGGCCACGCGTGAGTCGTGATGGCCCAGTGCGGCCCAAGCCCGGGT